AAATGTATGACTTTGTAGAGTCACGTGAGTTATTACTTATATGCGGCCATAATTAATAAACGAATTTACACATTATAGTAAGAAGCTGCTATTTTAGTATCATTAGTTACAATCGACTTTATAGAATAGCTTCTATTTCTTCTTGATGATTATTCTAATCGTTTTATTATTTAAAAACAATTTTGTCTCGGGTATTAGCTGTGAAATATCCTTTCTAATTTATTTATTTACACAAATATATGCGTAAACAGTGCCGGCTAAAACCATTACTATCTGCACAATTCGTGAAAGTATATAAAACCCTTGTGTGTAAAATATAATGCAACAAAAACTTGTAAAAATTCATAAATCTTAAACGATTATTAGTATTCAATAAAATTGTTATAAATTTTTATCATTTTCGAGTATCTAATCTGTGTGGAAATAAATGAAAATTAATTTTTAATGGTAACAATGTACGTTAAACAAAAACGCAAATTTAAAAGAATGATTTCAGTTTTACATCCATTTATTTGAATTCATTTGATCAATGAACCTACGAAAGATGGATAGTAATAGGAATAATTAATGTTCATTTGATGTTTGTTGAAAGTGAGGCGAGTACGAGGACAAATACTCGAGGCAAGTAGTGCCGCCACCGCTAGAAAATCACGTAGTGTGCTACACAAGTGGCGTCAATACTAGTAGTGCAACTGTGATATTTTTCGACAGTACTCAGTTTTGTTTGTAGATAAGCTTGTAGCGGCACTATTTAGGAAGAACAGATGTACGGAGATAGCACACCTTTGAAATTATATATTTAATATATTAAAAGCGTATACTAATGGTAATAAATCGCAGCAAGCTGCCGTGAAACTATTGATACGAAGTTGGATTTTCATGCTGGAGAGCGACAGTTGCGCCAGAAAGAGCTGGTCTAGGAAGCAATGATCCGTTGGCAAGGCAATGCTCTATAGCGGATGAGAAACTGCCGGTATGTAGCAGGCATAGTTCACCGATATTCGCAAAGTAGCGCAGCTGTGTAGAAGACATTATTGCTGTAATATAGGTATAGGTGTAAAGGCGCGCGGCCACGAGGATGAAATTACATTGGCGACAGGCAGCGGGGAGCGGGTTCGGCGAGCGCGGACGGGCAGCGGGGAGCGGGGAGCGGGGAGCAGAGCGCGGGCAACCGCTACTAATTCTGCACCGGCCATTTTTAGGCGCAAAGTACTCAGCGTGCTCGCGCGCTAAAGCTTCGCGCAGATGTAAACGCGCGCGAGCTTTTCCTAGCAGCAGAAGGGCCTCCGGCGCTCGCGGCGAACAGGACCGAATCCTGTTGCGACTTACACGGTTCAGCTCATTCCTCGCGAGCCTCTCTCTCTCTCTCTCTCTCTGTGTCTCGCTCCGCCGTGCTGCGCACTTTTTCTTCACTTTGCATTACAATGATCCTGGCCGGGCTGTGCGGGCCGCCGCACTCATTCTTCTTCTTGGCCGAGCATGCACACCTATACACCTATATTCAAATATTCAAATGCAGCGCGAGGGCGCGTTAGAGAGCAGTGCGCCCACAGTTGGCCGCTGCTACTGCTGCTGCCTGCAGTATATTAACGATTCTCATGCAAATTTTAATAGCGCTTTAATCATCGCTGAAAGTACGAGGAGCTGTTGTGCGTTTTTTTACGACAGAGCTGCCTCTCAATGATATCTGATACAACGTCGCTCTTTTAATCTACTTGCCTGTTTTTTCCGCTGCGAGCGAACGCGAAATAACATTTCTTCGCGCAGCCCTGCTTGGCGAGTAACGAGCGCCGGAGCATACGCATATAACACGTACGCGTCGTCTTCGAGAAAATACAAAATGCAGCTGGCTTGTATGATCGTTGATTGGCGAGCTGTAAACGGACTGCGCTCATTATATCCGCATTCTACGAGGAAAAAGCGCGCAACACGACCGAAGAGCATCAATGGTATCTGCTTTCGCGTGCAATTAAGGGCTTTTCGACCTATCGACTCTACTGCTCGGCGTTGCTCCTTCAAATTGGCGCCCCCTTTACTATGCTAATATCGAACGCCGAGCGTTGAGTGCCGAGCGCGGACGTGAAAGCGAAAGGGCCTCTCTCGAGCGGCGTGAAATCGCGAGCGCTACAGCCATCCCGGCAACGACTCCGAACCTCTACATTATGTACTTACTCTCCTCCCTCGAGCAACTCGCTCCGGCTCCTCTCGCTTTTTTCGGACCGACCAACTTGACAACACAGAGTGCTCTCTCCCTCTCTTTCTCCTCCGCGTCGCCCTCCTCTCTTCTTGCTCTCCTTGCTTTTCTTCTTCTTCTTCTCCTTCTTCTTCTTCTTCTTCCTCTTCTTCTTTCGACGAACAAGCCAGCGAATGAGCGCCTCTTGAGCTGCACGTGCTTTCAAATTAGCTCTTTACTCGCCCCTCTCGCACCTATATACATCAGCTCATCGTAGATGCACATCCGGAAACGTATGTACGTATATACAACACACCATTGCGTATTCAAAGATGCTTTAGAGAAACGAAGCTTTCGTTCGATAAATAACTTTCGGTTGAGTTTCGATTAAACAATGTAAAAACTTTTCTTCCTTTCCCTTTCAAAAATATTTACCTTTCTCGCTCCAACTAAAGATAAGAGTCAGAAGGAATTTGGTGAGCTTTGGCGACAGCACTGGTCAATATAGCAAGGACTCCATCTTATCTACAGAGATCAGTTACAAACGAGCGAGTGCCCGAGTGCTCTTCAAGAATAATCTGCGAGCGAGCATATTCCAACTTGTACGCCTTTACCGCGCTCTTTATTTCTTCTGACTGCAAATGTTCAAACTTTTTCAACATACGACGTGTCTCGCTCCGAGTAAACTCGAGAAAATGTGAGCCGTTGGCCTACGAATTAAGAGAAGAAAACGTAAAAACAGAAAATGATACTATGCAGCGCAGGTGGAACAAATCGCCCAGGCGTTCAGCGCTCGTTCATCTTCAATTATTCATCTACGTATATTCGATACTCACGATGATGTTTTATCAATGTTTGATTTGACGGGTGCTCACTTAGATGCTCCAACAAGCGAAGATTGAACGATCGCTTTGAGTGTTACGCGCGCACAACGAGCGTTCGGGTATAAGCATAACATTTCGAAGCTGAAAGGATACGGTGTTGAAGCGAGGCGAGATTATTGTGATCGTCGAATGACTGCGTTGGCAGCTGTGAAATAAGGCGTAGGGCGCACGCTCGAGAAGACGCTGGGCAGCCGCGATGATCGCGGCGATAAGTGCGCTGGCATGTAAGACGCGCGAGGGCGCGGGCGTGGGCGCGGGGAGGAGCGTGCAAGTAAAAGCCGGCAGGCGAGCCAGCAGCCGAATAATGGAGCAAGAGAAAGCGAGCGGCGGCAAGGGCGACGGCGCCTGGCCAGTGGGAAAGGCATGTCCTAGGAGCTGGCCGAAACGGGCAACGCTGGCGAAACGTCGAGCGGCGGAGAGCGCAGCTCGATAACCGAGGCACTTCGCCGCCGGCTTCGGCGCGGATCTGGCGCGGATCTGGCGCGGACGCAGCCTCGCGTGCGGCAGGCGTGCGGATGCGGCGCGCACGCGGGGATGCGGTTGTGGTGGCGGACAAAAGGAAGCGCCCGCGGTCGCCGCGTCCGAGCGCGGGATGTGCCCGGTTTGCGAGGCGTTGACAGCGGCCCGCTGCTGCCGTCCCTACGATGGTGCGCCTCTTTCACGCTCGTTAGCGCATCGCACGCGCGCCAAGAGACGTTTCCGCTCGTCGCACTCGCTACGGTCGGCCCGCTCGCGCCGCGACGTATGCGTCCACGCGCACGCGTGTCTCTACCCACGCTATGCGCGCTGCGAGCCCGGCGACGCACACACCACTCGCCTACGTGGACCGCTGCTCCGATGAGCCAGCACATATCTAGCGCTGGACTTGCCGTGCGCAACGCCGTTCGTTTATCGAGGCAGAGCTTCGTCAAATACCATTAGTCGCGTGAGACAGGCAGTTTGGACAGCCAGGCTGAACAAACGTGTTTGTAATTGTTGCGCGCATGCCGGTGCCTCGCGAGAGCCCGCAGTTGCCGCGGGCCGCCCGTGGGTATGCATTTAGCGAGTTGAACATTTGGGAAGGTCGAAAAAAGAGCGGATAAGGCCATGAAAAATGGAGAGAGAGCGGGAGAGAGAGAGAGGAGCATCGCAGAAACGAAAGATGAAGGGTCGGGCGGCGGGGCGCGGGAGCCGCGACCGGCGAGCAGGGAGAGCGGAGCGCGAGGCAGCGCGCGCGACTGGTGGGGGGCGCGCGGGCAAACGGCCGGCGAGGGCGGGGCGCGGCGCGCGCCGCTCGGGCCGGGCCCGCGCGGCGCCGCCCCCGACCGCCCACCGCCTGCCCTCCGAGCGCCGACACGGCCGCAGACGCGCCGCGGCCAGCAGCCCGACAGCAGCACCAGCAGCAGCCCACTCCGCAGCAGCTCAGCACAGCGCACCGCGAGCGGCCACGCACGCCCGAACTCGCCGCCGGCCTGCCGCGTCGCCACTGGTCCCGGCCTGCTCGCCGCCGCCGGCCGTCCGGCGCGCAACGAGTGCGCGTGTGTGCATGGCGCTCGCCGCCCGCGCGCGGACGCCGGGCCTCGCGCCGCCAGTGTGGCCCGACAGCCCGCGCCTCGACGGGCCCCGAGATGCCCTCGCGACCACTCGCCACGCCGACCCGGCTGCTCGCCCGCCGCCGGCTCCGCCGTCCGCAGCGACTCTGAGCGCCCGCTTGGTATCGATCAGTCGTCAGCCGCCGACAGTGCCGTCGCCGGGATGCGGGGAGCCTAGCAGCCAGGCAGGCGCCAACTGCACCAGAGTGAGTAACGTAGCGATTGACTCTGTCCGCGGACTCCGGCGAGAGTGAGGTGGGATGTCGCGACCAGGAACTGGGCAGTCGCGAGCAGCCGAGTGACAACCGCGCGAGCGCGTGCCTTGACGATGGCGACCTAACCTCAAAGAGTGCGCGCGTGCGGTCGCGACAGTTGATCCGGAAGGTGCCCCAAGGACCAAGTGCGAGCAAGATGAAAACGCGACTGCGGACAGCTGGCTGAGGAAGGTCCGAGTGCGAGAGAGCGACAGCGAGAGCGAAGGCACGGAAGCAGGGACGGCGGCGCGCAGCGGCATGCCGGGCAGTCCGGCGGGCGGCCCGGCCGCGGCCGCCGGCCCCGGCGAGCAGCAGCAGCAGCAGCAGCCGCCGCCGCCGCGCCAGAGGAGCGCCGCCGACGAGTCGGACTGCGAGAGCGAGTGCAGCAGCGAGGTGCTGAGCGTGGGCAACGAGCCGCCGCCGCGGCTGGCCGAGCTGGAGCTCGCGCCCGCGGACGAGCCGGGAGCGGAACCGGAGCTGGAGCTGGGCGCCGAGGCCGCGCTCGGCGAGGCGGAGGCGGCGCGCAGTCCGCGCACGTCCTCGAGGACGCCGTCGCCGGCGAGCTCGGCACTGCCCTCGCCGTCGGCCTCGTCGCTGCGCTCGCCGGCCTCGTCCGCCTCGCCGGGCCGCGCCGAGTTCGCGCCCGCCAACTCGGAGCTCGCCTACCCGGTGGCGGCGCTGTCGCGGCCGCCCGCCGGCCACCAGGAGCTGGGCTACCCGGCGGCGCGCTTGCCGCTGGGCTTCGGCCTGGGCCTGCCGGCGGCCGCGCGGCTCTCGCTCTCGCCGCCCTCGGCCATGACGGTCTCGGGGCTGGCGGTGCCCTGCACGCCGCTGCTCCACCCGGCGGCCCAGCACGCGCTCGGCCTGCCGCAGCCGCAGCCGCAGCCGCAGCCGCAGCAGCAGCAGTCGCAGCAGCAGCACCGGCTCTCCGTCGACAAGCTGCTGCGCCGCGACTCGCCGGAGCACCAGCGACACTCTCTCGGCCCGCAGCTGCACCTGCTGCAGCCGCTGCCCGGCGCGCAGCAACAGCTCCAGCAGCAGCAACAGCAGCAGCAGCAGCAGCAGCTGGCGATGCTGGCCAACGGCTCGGGCCGCAGCAACGGCCAGCAGCCCAGCAACAGCAGCAACGCCAACGACAACAGCAGCCTGCAGCAGCAGGCGAGCCTCAAGTTCAGCATCGACAACATCCTCAAGGCGGACTTCGGCAGGCGGATCACCGACCCGATCTCGCTGAAGAAGTCGCGTCCGCGCAAGCTCGTCGCTCGGCAGCCGATCGACCTCAGCAAAGACTTTGTGGAGAGCTCGTCCGAGGGCTCCGAGCGGGGCTCCGAGAGCTCCACGAGAAACGTGTCGCCTAGTCTGCCGGCGAGCAGCCCCGCACCCAGCTCGGCCGCCACCCCGAGCGTCGCCGGCGCGGCCGCCAACGAGTCCAAGCTCATACAGTGGCCGGCCTGGGTCTACTGCACCAGGTACTCGGACAGACCCTCCTCCGGTAAGTTGTCCTTCGATCTCTCATCTTATTTGTCCGTGGCGAGTCGCAGCAATGCTCGGATTGGCTGCCGAGCGCGCCGCTACGTTGCCCCGCGAGCAGACGACCCTCGGGTGGAGGAGTCCTCCGCGCAGGGACACGAGCGTCTGGCACTTTCGCTCGCCCGATGAGTCCGCTGCTCTGGCGTGCGGCCGGTCGTGTCGTAACTCTGACCCGGCCGCGGGTACGCGGAGAACTGTTGGCCCGTCGTCCAGCCAGTCCGCATTGCGCGCTCGCTCGGCTTCCGCAGCCGGCCGAACGAGCCGACGTCCTCTCGATAGGCCCACTGCGTTCGCCTCGAGAGCGCGAAATTCGACCTGCCGGCCGCGGCGTGTCCTGGCTTCGGCCATCGCAGCCCAGCTCTCCGTCGGGCGCCGTTACTCATGCGAGCCGAACGGAGCGAGCGCAAGTGTCGGTAATTAGTTAGTAACAACAGCACTGGCAGTAGCAGCAGAGAGCGAGCGGCAGGCGCGAGCCGCGCGCATAATAGCGCTGATCGCCGAGGCGCGATAGTCGTGAGTGTACCCCCGGGAATCGCGTGCTTGGGCTCTCGCCGGCGACGATATTAACAGGCGCGAGGATACGTGCAAGAGCAAGAGGAGGGGGCGGTCCGCGAACGATAGAATGGCTCGATTAAACTGGCCTCCGCTTATCTAGTTGGCCGGCGCTGCGCAGGAGCTCCTGCGCTCTCCGCGGCGCGCGCTCCGCTCGAAACGCCAGTAAACGTGAATTTTGCTCTCGAAAAGAGCGAAGAGCGCGTGGCGCGCACGAGAGGGCAGGCCGTGCACGGCGCAGCTGCCCTGTGCCGCGACTGCAAGCTCCCGCGCAACCGCACGTCCGCTCGATTATCGAGCTACGACGGATCTGCGCTTGTTTTCTTTTGCCCCCGAGCAACAAACATTTTCCTCATCGATCGCCGATGAAATATTTCGTAGCGCGGCCGGAGACTCGGCATAGAGCTGCGATAAACAACAATATTCCGCTCGGTCCGCCACACGTCAATCACGCTTCTGCGCTGATTTATTCATAGCCACGCTTATTGCCACGCAACTTTGAATCTCGCGTGGCTAGGCGCCGCCAGCACGCGGCTTCGCCTCCGCGGCATAGAAGCCGAAAAAAGTGTCGGATGAGTTGTTAATCGACGAGGCGCTAATTGGAAACGGTCAGAAGCGGTCAGAAGCGGTCGGAAACGGCCTCCACTTGCGTGCGTAGGGCGCCGTTACGCGGGAGCGTCAGCCGTCGCCTCGCGGCGAATCCTCGGCGCGCCCGATGTGACAATGGCCATCTCGGCATCTGCGATCTATCCTTCTGGTGTGCATTCGTCTCGTGCGACAGCGCGCCCGGCCAGCGGCGAATCGCGCTAATCTCTGTCGTACGATTTCGCACGGCGCGCACCTAACCACCGTCTCTCGTCGCCGTCGCGATCCGCATCTGCGCGCACCCAATAACTTGGCAGACTCTGCAATATCAGCTTCGATTATGCTTGTCCGGCAATTATTCGAGCCTGCGCGCTTGGCTTCGCGTTCGATCGAACATACCTAGGCTGCCAAGCAGACCGAAAAACAGATCAATCCACATCAAGATAACAAAGAAAAATCGTACCTCGTGGAAACTACTCGATTAGGCCACATCGCGCCGAGAGCGCTCGTAGCTATTTGTTATCGCGCCATTTCTTTGCTCAGCTGGATCGTGAATAAAAACTCAAACATTATTTATCTGTCTATCGAGCGAGTTTATATAGCTTGTCGATGATGTTCGCGGCGTTTTATCGCGGCCAAGAATCGTCGACTTTTCTCGCAGTGGCCCGCAGCCGGATGCTCGTTAGATGTAGCGATGGTTAGCCGCCTGCTGCATAAAGCAAGCGTAAGTGATTGTTGGTACAAGCGAATAAAAGCAATCGATGATAGAAATTCGAGTGTAAATAAGAAAATGGGAAAATGGATGGGTTCGGTGAGAAAAGCCGATTGTAGGTTGGGCGCGATGCGGCAAGCAGGCGACCGCGCGCGCGCATGCGAGTGAGAGAGAGAGAGAGAGAGAGAGAGAGAGAGAGAGAGAGGGAGAGAGAGGCTGCAGCTGCTAATGTTGGGAAGTGGCTGCATGTACTTTTTGTCTCGAGCCCATTGTTCTAAGATACGAATTTCAGCGGAGTTGGGCCGTCTAACAAGCCAATTGTTCTCTTTCACACGAGCTGTTCGCTAGCCGCGCGTCGGAGCACTGGTCAGAGGTGCAGCGAGCGAGCCAGCCAACGAGCAGCGACGGCATGCCGCGCTCTTCGGCATGGCTCAAGCATCCGTTAATGAAATGCCTTCCTCCATAACGAAAGCGGATAAGTAGTGCTAAATCATTGCATCGCTAACAGATCCCGACAACGCAGACAGACGTGCCTCATCGTGCGCAACGGTAAACTGCAATCGTTAACATTATCAAAGCTAATAACGATCGCGTTGGCTTGTTGCTTTCGTGCGAAAGGTCAGCGGGCACGCGAGGCTGCTGGCATGCGCAGCGCACTTGCCAACTGGCAGCGTTTGTCGAGCGTCGACGCGACGGACGATTCGGGGCTGGCTGCAGGTATCGGTGCTCCACTCGCAGCGCGCACGCCGCTTTCGGGAGGTGCGATTGACGCTAATTGCTCGAGATGTCGAGCCGAGCGTGCATGCGCAGCCGTAAAAGGTTGCGCGCTAAACATAAGCTACACGCGTATGAAGCGCAATTTTCGATGCACACGAGCACCGCAGTCGCGAGTGTCCAATTATCTTGTATATGCAGAGCCAGTGGCGAGCTTCATAACGAGCTGCGGGCTTTAGCATCGGATAAACGCGCAGATAACGAGCTGCTGCCGTATTTGCAGTCGCTTGCCCAAAAGCTTACAGCAGCCACACAATTGCAGCACGGAACTCGCAACCGCAGAGATCTCGCGCGGGGATCTACGAATTAGCAGCGCAGCGCGATCCAGTTTTCGGATTCAATGCGCGCCTCGCGTACCTATGCTTCCATACCCGCTATAACAATGCCACCGAAAGCCGCAATTTACAAGCGGCGACTCGGCCCAGCACGCCGCAACACTGCAGCGAGAGAAGACGCGCTCTTCCCGCAAGCGGATCCGTCCGCTGGCCGCAACACTGCCCTCGTTACGCTGCCTATTGCGCACCACGCTGTCTTCCGACCAATCCGATCCTCCTCTGGCAAGGCCAGCTCCAGCTGCACGCTGCTCGATCTACGACACTTGCGGGCTCTCTGCCAAGGCAGCGAACAGTCTCCGAGTCTCGATCTTGCCCTCGTTGTCGCTAAAAGCCTCGGCCGCAGCTGCTGGGAGCTCCGCCCTTGCGCCGACCATCGGGAAAGCCCAACATTTTCATGCTCGCCCTTCGCGTCGTCCCGTCCGGCAGTGCAGGCCAGGAAGGTGCCGTTCGCGATGTTTTCTCGTTGGACGCATTTTCACGACAACCAGTGTCGCTCGACTGACCTTGCCAATCAATTTTTCAATCTCTCATGCAAAATCAAAGCAAACTCCACTTGTGCGTCGCTTTCAAAGCTACAAACAAAACTTTCTTGCGTTTTCATTTTTCTCAAGTACACTCGCTTATCTGCTCCCGATTATGCAATTACTTTGAGATTCCATAAAAAGCATCGTTTCACACTGGTGCGTGAATATCGGGTGATAGACGAAATCAGTTTACTATGCATCAAATTCAAAAGGCTATTGTTAGTGAATAGTGTCAAGTGCTAGGCTCTGAAAACAATCCTTTCCAGAATCCCGAAAATCGATGAATGTAGGAAAAACCTAACAATGGACATTCGAAAATCCGATTGAGATAAAGGATCAAGCGTATCAGGCTCCCTTGACTGTGGCATCTTAACACTCCCAGCTGCAACGCGAGCAGTGATTGTTACGATTGTTCCTACTACTTATATTCAGGATATTTTCTGGCGAAATCATGCTCCAGTGTTCTGTTCAGCGAGCTCTTGGACATTTCCACTGAAATTGGCCAATTTGGGCGTTTTTTGTCTCGCACCGTCGAGTCTAGCAGTATTCGCGCGTTCGATCGATCCGACTAGCTGGATATGGGTTGCTGGTCGTGCCTGAAAGGGGGCTGCTGCCTAATTGGCAGACAGACGAGTTGGCGCTGCGTGGTATTTGAAGGGAGTAGGCGTGTTCGATACATTAACGCATGCGGGTAATAGATAGGTGGTGCGCGCGGCTGCACGCGCCTGCAGCCTCAAGTTGGCGCGCGTCGCTCGCACTCGTGCGCTCGCGGTTCGGTGCGACGGGCCGAGCGAACCGACGAGCCCAACTTGTCGCAGCGCTGCCACGCCGAGCGCGTCGGCAGCGGCAATTTGCGCTAATCGACGCGCAGTTTCCGATACGCCGCTTTCCCCGAACGCGCATAAGTTGGCAGTGATCGCGGCGTAGCGCTCGTGGCAGCCGGAAGCGGCGGAGGAGGAAGGTGCGCCCGCCGAGGCAGGCTCGCTCGAGTGCCACATTGGACAATTGGCCGGGCCGGCGAGGAAAGAAGCGATCCGTCTTGGGGGCGTTGACAGCTGCCGAAAGCTGCCGAAAGCTGCCGGTCGATTAGAGGGCCAATTGCGCTCGACTTCCGCGTGCGGGCTCCAGGCCGAGCGCGAGCGGAAGCAGCGCCCGACGCTCGCGGCCCGAGGACCGACGAGCTGCGCGCCGGACCAAGTGTCGCGTGCGCGGCGAGGTGCCGCGGCGCTGCTCGCAGCCCGCCGCGCGGTTAAGCGACAGCGATTCTCCGATTTAAGCGTCCTGTCGTGTCCGATTATTGCCGGGTCCGCTTGATTGATCGTCCCGCCGCCCGACCCTCCTCCGCCGACTCATTTTTCATATTCTCTCGCTCTCGCACTCTCGTCTTTATGGCCGTCCTTATTTATAACTTCATAGCCCCGAGTTGTCCCGACTCGGACATTCAGCTCGTCCAGCTATCGCGCGCGATACTTTATTCAAA